TTGGTGGTGTCGGGCCCCCAGTTGATTGGCGTTGAGTGTGGTCACGTTAGAGGGTCCTTGTTATACGACACCAGGTGTCGCTGAGGTGATGTTAGGTGAGAGTCAAGCAAAGACTCTTTACTTGAGATGAGGCTGGGAGTGGAGCTTTGCCACGTCAAGCATGAAGTTCTAGGGGATCTCCACCTAGGTCACATCGGGCACGATTCAAATGGTGTCGAGCGTGGGTAAGATAGAGTTATCTACCTCAATGGCATCGGGTGCAAGGTATTGCATTGGGCATGGAATGCTTGAATAATGAAGGGTGATTGTGGAATGTTGTGTGATGGACATGAGTAGATGTATGAGATCTATTGCATGTTGAATGGTGTATGTTGATTGTTCTATATATAATATATGTTGATTGTATATGACATATATGGATGATATTATAGTGTTGGATGATGGTGAGCATATGTATGATGTATGATTGTATGATGCATGAGTTTGGAGAGCATTGGTATGCTATATATGGATGATGTTATTGATCTCTATATGCATTGACTGGATGTAATGTATATAGGTGATGCATGCATGAGGTGGATGTTGGGAATAAGTTAAGGCATTAAGGCATGTTGGCTAACTTAGGACTTAAGGAGAGGAGAAGGTTTAAAAAAAAATTGAAGACCCACATAGGAAATCTTAGAGTGGTGCTTGAGTAGGCCACTCTTAGAAAATCCTCCTTAATTGGGTGTTTCTCTTGGAGTAGGTCTTGAGTTGTTGATGTCTCCTTTATGTCTTTAGTGGTTGAGTCAGCTGGTAGGAGGTCGATGATTACGTACAATCCTTAACCGAGTATCTGGAAAGGTTATATGGTTTTTTGAGAATGGCCAGTGGACTAACTCCACATATAACTTGTTAATACATGTCAAGGCTGTGGTATGTCTATACCCAAATGTATCACTCCTAACAGTGGAGCCGACAGACTTTCCTAGTATAAGTGACAATACTCGAGAAATCATATGAAGGATTGGCATCCCATTTTGCTATGATTGAGCCGACGCTTTGGATGCGAAAATGATTAAGTTAATTATGTAGAATGGAGTCACTTAGACTGTTCATATTGTTAGGAGATCTTCGTAGGTAAATGCATGACAATACATTGGTTTATTTGTTTGCATATGATGGGTATCAAGGTGTGTTCATATGCGTTGTTTATAACTTGTGTGACATGATTTGGGTGAGATACATGTTTGTTTAAAGTGTTGTAGCTTTCATGTATGATTATGGTGTGATGTTGTATATTATAGAATTGTTGTTTGTACTTACATGTTTTCGAACTCTAAATTACCTTCTATTTCCATTGTGGTTTGGACTGTGATCATTATACGTTGTGTAGGGAGCAGATCAGGACTAAGCTTGAAAAGCTATTGTTGATAGGTGGTGTGATTTATTTGTCAGTAGTGGTACTACTGTGTGTAGCTTATATAATTATGCTCGATTGACATTGGGACATATGATTATTTTATGGTTACTGTATATATGTGTATATATCTTGTCTATATTAGTATAGATATTTTACTCTTATATTCATGTTATATATATATATATATATATGACACATTTTCTTATTTAATCTTGAATGTTCTCATTTAATTGCACTATTTTACTTCTCATTTTTCACATTTTCATGAATTTTAACACAAACTTTCAAATTTGTACATTTTATTAATTTTTAAAATTTTACATGTTATCATCGTAAATTGATTATTTAACATTATTATTTGACTGCTAATATGATATGTTGACTAGTTATATGACACATTAACCAATCACTTGTCACATTATCTAAAATCAACAATTCACGTTAATATGTCACGTTAGCAATCACTTAACGAATAATAAAGTTTACAAAATTTTTAAAAATTAGATAACAAAATATGCAATTTTAAAAGTTAAGTGGTGAAATTCATGAAAAGAATGCAATCAAGTCAATATTTTTTTTATATTTTAAAAACATGAAATACATTTATTTTTTTCATTCAACACATTTTTTTTATTATAAATTATTAGAAATACTTTTATACTGCATTTAGTAAAAAGGTCAATAATTTAATGTAAAAAATCACACTTTTTTTTACTTCATATATATATATATATATATATATATATATATTATTTTTAAAACATGAAATACATTTGTTTTTTTCATTCATCACATTTTTTATGCAGTAAATACATTTAATGTCAAAAAATACACACATAAAAAAGTATATTTTATGAAAATATTAAATGGTTTTTAATAAATAGATAAAAAAAAATTGTTTTCAAAACATTAAATACATAATCGAACACGTTTGTTTTATAAAGTACTATTAAAAATATTTGTATAGTCTATAAAAAACGATTTCGTAAAAATGTAAACACACCTAAAGTCAAAACACACACATATGCTAAATATTAAAAAAATATTATGTTTTCAAAAACATTAAATACATTATGTTTTTTCATTTAATATTCTTTTAATAAAGTTTTGAAAATATTAATATGCTCTATAGATTTTTTTTAGTAAAAATGTAAATACATTTAAGAAGAGGTGTAACAACACACTTCTCTTAAAAAAGTTTCTTATTAGATTTTATTGAAAATCATAAAATCAAGAGAGATAATCACTAAATAGGGTGTGAGTTCCACCAATTTTTTGTGTTTTTTATTTATCCATTTAAAAAGAGTGTGTTCAAAAAGATATAAATGTGCTCAAAATATTTCACACATCTAATGTCAAATACACACATAGACAACAAAAAATATTTCCTTCCATCTTTATTATAAGACAATTTTAATTAAATCATACGGATCAATATAAGTAATTATGTTAATTAATTTTGTTAGATATGTAAAGCAAAATCATGGCATATATATATACCAATTTTACTCTTCTTACTTGTTATTGTATTAAATTTTCATGGAAGAGGTAAAAATATTACCCCATACTTATCAAAGTTTATGCATTAATTAATAATAATAAAATTGGAAAATGATAATGAAAGAGTTTAAGAAGTGAAAAAAATATATTTATTTCTCAATTTTTCTTCTTATTATCCAACAACAGAAATACACATTCCCATCATATTTAATATAAAAAAAAAAGTTAAAAAAATTAATATTTTATAAAAAAAATTATAAAGTACCTTATGAAATCATCATCATTATTTTTCTTCTAAATTGTGTCTTATATAATAAGGACCAAAAAGTATATATTATGATAAATATTGATTATTTTTATGTTCCCAAAACATTAAATCCTTCTTGTGAAGAATAAAACATTAAAATATTTTTTTCTTCATTTAATAACTTTTTATAAAGTGTTAAAAATATTTGTATATTCTCTCTATATATATATAATTCAGGACACACACATAATTATATAATAAATATTAAAAGAAAACATGTTCTCAAAACATTTAGTTTTTACATATAACACATTTTTTTTATAAAGTATTAAAATTATATAAATGTCTTATGGTAAATATTACTCTCTTTTTTTAATGTTTTGAAAACATGAAATACATCTATTTTTCATTCAACACGGTTTTAATAAAGCTTTAAAGAAATATTTGTATACTCTATAAAAATAGAACTAGTAAAAAATTAAAGTTAATGTAAAAAGTAAACACACACATAAAAATAGTACTATATTTTATGGTACAAATGAAATGTTTTCTTTTTGTTTTTTGTTTTCATAACATAAATACATTAATTTCTCATTCAACCCATATTTTATAAGAGTTAATCACTTATAAACTGCTATTGTAAAGTTTTTTTATACTGACAACCAATCATATCTTTTAATAGTGTCATGTCATCTGGTTATTTAATAAAATAATAATAAAATAAATAACTTTAAAAGATATGATTGGTTGCCAGTGTAAAAAACTTTACACTGACAGTGTATAAATGATTAACTCATTTTATAAAGTGTCATTAAAAATATTTGGTCAAAATTCATTTATATAATTTCACATATTTTGCCTTTTAGTCCTTATATATAGTTTAAAATAAACATTTTAAATCATTATAATTATCTTTTTTAGCTCCTATAATTTAAGATAGTTTCTTTTTACTCTCTGTACTTATAGTTTTGTAAATCTTTTAGTCCATGTTGTTAATTTTTTTTTTTGTAAGTTTATCTGTTTTGTGTTGATGTGGTAGAGCTCTTCAATTTTGTGATGATAAATAGATGTTTCAACAATGAGTATTATAAAGTGAGAGTACAAAAGTGATACAAATTCTCGAAAGACTTAATATACAATAATTTTAATAAAATAAATTTAACATCTGACACACAAATTTAAATTAATATATATTCCTGTCATGTTAATAATAAAAAAATAATGTTATGAAAAAAAATAACGAAAAAGATTATAGGGGTTAATAAATAATAAATATAGGGACTAAAAAATCCTATGTTAAACTGTATAAACTAAAAATATTTAAAAATAAATAAATTTATATATATTAAAAATGTCTATTTTAAATAATAGAGATTAAAAGATAAAATTTCATAGAGAATAAAAAAATACTTTAACCAAAACAATTTTATACTGTATTAAAAAAATAGTAAAAATATAAATACATTTAATGTCCCAAAACTGTAAAAACATTTAATATTTAAATTTTTTTGACTGAGCATTTAATATTTACTTATTACCATACAACAGAAGTAAAAGAACCAGTAACAGAATGGCAGTTGATGAAGGTTTAGAACCATTGAAAAAAAAATGTGGGGTTTGATTTGAGTCATTGTAATTGTGAAGTTAATTAAGTAAGATAAGGGAGATGATTGTTGAGTGTGCAATTGTGCATGCAGATGTAGGCGTGAGAAGGAAAAACCCTCGTTTATTGCACTTATTAATAACGTGTTAATGAGAATTGAAATAATGCATATGATTATGATTATGATGCAGCCCCTTGTAAAGTTTGGAATTGAATTCAATGGCTCCACAATTCAATGCCAAAATTTAACGGAACAACACTTCGTCTGAAAAAGAAAAACTGTAACCACTAACCCCTCCTTCCTTCCTCTTACTCTCTTGCTCTTATATTCCTTTTCCCAAACACATCACTTTCACTTATAAATACACATTCTTCCCCTTTTTCCCTTCACACTCCCACACCCATTTCTCATTCTCTCCGATATGGACTTCATCTCCGAACACGATTTCCCCAACATTGACATCATTCCTCATTCCTTCGATTCATGGTTCACTTCTCAACCAAACAACCTGCACAAGTGAGTTTCATGCTCTTTTCATGATTATTATTTCTCAATAACTAAAGGGTATTCATAGAATAATAATTTATTGAACAGTGCCTCGTGACTTTCGAGGTTGATAGGAACTTTGATTTTGTTTCTTTTGTCTTATGTGATGTTGGGTTTTTGTTTGTTTGTGTCTTATTGAATGTGTGTGGATGTGCAGAATGATGGAGGTTTCACCCTTGGAGGGTTTCTACGAGCACGATTGGACTCACCACTTTCCTTACTCAAGCAAGCAACTTTGCTTCAATGAGTTACCGGACATTGAAAATTTCAACTTCGATTTAAGCCTCCCTCTCCTTGGTGAAGAAATGGAGGAGGTGGAACAAAAACCCTTGAAAGTAGTGGTGCCCCAAAAGGGGCATGGTGATCGTGATAAGGGTTTTGGGGGTGCTTTGGTGGTGAATGAGAAAGGGTTTGCCACACGTGTGAAGAAAGAGGAGGAGGAGAATGTTGATAAGAAGCCATTGCCAGTGCCTAGAAGCAATATGAAGAAGAAGAAGAAGAATAATAATAATAAGAAGAGTTGTGTGTTGGAGTTTGAGCAGATAAAGAAGTATTTTGATGTTCCTATAAATGAAGCTGCGAAGAAAATGGATGTGGGGTTAACCCTTTTGAAGAGGAGGTGCAGGGAACTCAACATCATGCGGTGGCCTCATAGGAAACTCAAGAGCTTGCAGACAGTCATCGACAATGTTAAGGTACCTCATGTGACCAACATTTAATGATAGTAACATTCTCTTTGGATTGTCCAATTTCTGTTGTGTGTTGATAATAAGTCAAGGAGTGAGAAATTCCAAGTTACTTTACAGTAGTAAGAATTGTTGGATTGGAGTAGTATAGGAGGGTAGGACTCCACGGGGAATGGTAATTAATAGTAGCTTTGTAATTTGTACTAGTTTGTGCAATGAAATCGAGGAGATAAACCAAAGCAATGTGATGAAATGATGTGACTAACCATTGAATGTGTTTATTCTGATGTGTAGGAATTGGGTTTGGCTAACGAGATTGCCATGTTGGAGAAGCATAAAAGGATGTTGGAAAAGTTACCAGGATTGGAACTGAGTGAAGAAACCAAGAAGCTGAGGCAGGCTTGTTTTAAAGCCAATTACAAGAGGAGAAGATGTCTGGCACTTAAAGCTTGAGCTTCTTGGTTATTGCGTGGAATTTGCCAATAATAATAAAGGACATATAAAGCATCATATAGATCATAGGGTAGGCGAGTTTATACTGTGAATTAGGAAACTCATTTGACTGCACATCACATGTTCTTACAACAAGTTCCTTCAGTCGGAGTAGAAGGATGTTTTCAGCAATACTAAAAGGGTTTTTCTCTTCTATACCACCCTCAACTCAAGAATGCTCTATGTTATCTTCTAATACAATCTTACTTTTCCAACCAATTACATGTCATTCTTATTAAATATTCTTGTCAATTAATTGGTATATGTATGGTTTATTGTTATGGTGATTATATGGGTTATTCTTCTATAACACGTATATCTTAAAGAAGCAAATCAGAAGGCAACAACGCTGAAACGGGTCAAAACGAGTAGCTTCTTTGTCTTCCCACAAATAAATAACTCAGGTGGGACTGGATTCATATTCAATTCTTGGAATTATTGTTTAAATTATGAAGCCTAACGTAAATTTTTAATGTATTTTAATTCGTGGTACTATTGGCTGAATTTTGCGCGAGTTTTGTTAAAGAAAATCTAACTTTTTTTTTCCCTGTAAAAGAAATATATAACTAGATGGTTTTTAGTAAAATTTATACAAAACTTGGTATCTAGAGCCATCTCTAACAGTCCAAAAAAAAAAAAAAAAAAAAAAAAAAAAAAAAACTCATTTTATTTAGAGTCTTTAATGTCACTTAAGATTTAAAAACTTTCTCCATTTTTTACTCCAATGAAAAAATTTAAGATTTAAAAGCTTTCTTCATTTTTAACTCCAATGAAAAAATTTAACTTGAGTTATTAATTTACGAAATTTCTTTATTTTTATTGGGATGAAAGAATTCAATTTGAGTTCTTAATTTATTTTATAAGTTCCACAGTTCGTTCTTTTTATTTATGAAAAATATTTTTTTTATTAACAAGAACTAATTCTTTAGAGTTTTTTTTTATAAGAACAATTCTTACACTATATTATTCATGTTAGCACGATACAATGATATAATTTATAAGAACTCTTTCTTATATTAAAATCACAATTAAGAATTCTTATTGAAGATGACTTAGCATAGAGATGCAAAATATAATGAATTATTAATATAATAAAATATATAATTTCAATACTTGTTTTAATGTACATAAATAAATGGTGATATTTTTAATATAGATGCGTGACTTTTCTTTTTAATTTTTATTTTTTATATCATGGTATTGGTAGGAATATTTATTGACTTTATTGAAAATTAGTTTTCCTCAAGATTTTGATTGCATTAAAAATATGCTTCCCAACATCTTTTTCAACATCTTTCTTTTATCAAATCCAATATATGGATCGAGTGACTGATATTATATACCTAATGTTAAAATTAAAAAAAAATGTAGTACTACTCTTAGGAATTAAAATATATTGAAAATCACAACTCTTATGAATTTCATTAAAAAAAGAGATATAAATGGAACTTACTAAAATTTATTATATATATCTTATAAGTTCAAATCAATAATAAAAAATTTAAAAATGGTATTATTAGCGTTTCTAAAAGAAATCATTTTTTTTCTGGGTCTATTACAGTTCTATAGGACTTATTGGAAAAAAGTTGTTCAAAGCGTTTGTTTGGTGAATTATTAATTTCTATTATTTATAGGGTGTTTGTAATCATGTTGAAATATTAATTAGGGTAAATTTAGAAAAATATTTATATGGTTAATTCTAAGAATTGATTATGTGTTTAAAATTGTTTATATATATATATAGTCTTTAATGTCACTTAAGATTTAAAAACTTTCTCCATTTTTTACTCCAATGAAAAAATTTAAGATTTAAAAGCTTTCTTCATTTTTAACTCCAATGAAAAAATTTAACTTGAGTTATTAATTTACGAAATTTCTTTATTTTTATTGGGATGAAAGAATTCAATTTGAGTTCTTAATTTATTTTATAAGTTCCACAGTTCGTTCTTTTTATTTATGAAAAATATTTTTTTTATTAACAAGAACTAATTCTTTAGAGTTTTTTTTTATAAGAACAATTCTTACACTATATTATTCATGTTAGCACGATACAATGATATAATTTATAAGAACTCTTTCTTATATTAAAATCACAATTAAGAATTCTTATTGAAGATGACTTAGCATAGAGATGCAAAATATAATGAATTATTAATATAATAAAATATATAATTTCAATACTTGTTTTAATGTACATAAATAAATGGTGATATTTTTAATATAGATGCGTGACTTTTCTTTTTAATTTTTATTTTTTATATCATGGTATTGGTAGGAATATTTATTGACTTTATTGAAAATTAGTTTTCCTCAAGATTTTGATTGCATTAAAAATATGCTTCCCAACATCTTTTTCAACATCTTTCTTTTATCAAATCCAATATATGGATCGAGTGACTGATATTATATACCTAATGTTAAAATTAAAAAAAAATGTAGTACTACTCTTAGGAATTAAAATATATTGAAAATCACAACTCTTATGAATTTCATTAAAAAAAGAGATATAAATGGAACTTACTAAAATTTATTATATATATCTTATAAGTTCAAATCAATAATAAAAAATTTAAAAATGGTATTATTAGCGTTTCTAAAAGAAATCATTTTTTTTCTGGGTCTATTACAGTTCTATAGGACTTATTGGAAAAAAGTTGTTCAAAGCGTTTGTTTGGTGAATTATTAATTTCTATTATTTATAGGGTGTTTGTAATCATGTTGAAATATTAATTAGGGTAAATTTAGAAAAATATTTATATGGTTAATTCTAAGAATTGATTATGTGTTTAAAATTGTTTATATATATATATATATATATATATATATATATAAAGTTTTATAATGAATATTACTAACTTATTATTAGAATAAAAACTTTCAAACATAAATCACTTCGCTTCAAAATCAATTTTCAAATTCACACTTTAAAGTGTGTTTGGATATATAATACTCAAGAATGAATTCTATTTTGCAAAATTAAGGCGATATATCATATAAAAGTAGAAGTAATTACTTTTTGTTTTTTGCCTTCATCGTACTTTTTTCTTTTTTTAATCACGAAGTCAATCGAAACACTTTATTATTGTGGTTAGTTTAATTCTCTTCAATCACATTAAAATATCAGTTAATATGATTTTAGGTGAATTTATACTTATTTGATTTTAGATTGAAGAATTGATTCCAAATTAAAATAATTTTAAATAATTATTTATATTGAACCAAAACTTTTATAGCAACTCTTACTATTAATGTGCTTTAAAATATAAGTCACACCACTTCAAAATCATTTCAAATTAAAGTCAAATTCGCGAAATCAATTTCATTCGATATCAATTTTATTCTCGTTCAAAGACACATTTAGATAGCTATAATTTTTTTTCCCCACTAAGAAACCTATAGTTGACGTATGTATTTTGGTGAGCGTTGGCAAAAATGATTTTGTTAATTTTGTAAAATTTAGTTTAGTTAATTGATTTTGAAATGAAGTGGTTGCATGTTTTTATTTTAAAAGTAATTAGTTAACAATAAAACTTGGTATACATTTTTTTATCCAATATAAATACTTAAAATTGTCTCGACCCAAAATAAATTATTTCAACGTGATATTAGATACATAACAAACATCAATGAGATCTATTTCAGACAATTGAGCAATATATGTAAAGTATAGTAAATTTGATATTGTTTGTATTTGATTCCGATATATATAACTTAAAACACGTAATAATGAAAAGATTGATCAAATATCATTTTATATAATCAAGTTTCTTTACTTAGTGATTGTAAGGTGTATTTTATAACATAGGAATCGATTTAATGTTCTCAAATTTAATTCATTCTCAAATTTAATTTCCATTTGAATTAAAATAATATTTGATCAGTAAAAATTATATTTTACGAACATAAATTAATCATTGATTATCAATTTTGCAATATTGTGTGATTATGTCCATGAAAAAAAAATGATGTTATATTTTTTAATTACAAATATATATATCAATATTTAGGTAAAGTGTATGTGAATTACTAGAGTTTGTTTAATAATAAAGTATTGGAGTAATACACATAAAATTTTAGGTTTAAATTTTATTATTGTTATTATGGTTGATAAAATAAAATGTAGTTATGCCACTGTAATATGGAGCTTGGCTTCTAAACCCTTAACGCATCTTTAAGACATAGCATTTGTATATATAAGTGTTTAGTGTTTAACTAGATCATATATTTGCAGTAGTATTTTAGCATGCACTGATGTGCATATATAAGTGTTTATTTATATAATTAAAAAATGAAATATAAATATATAAATTATATAAATTAATTCGTGGAAGTTGTCTGTAAGGAACATGGTGAAGTTACAGAAAAAGAATGGAATTTGGCTAATATAGAACCAAAGAGGTACTTATGTGATTGCCACTGCTCTCACGAAAGAGCCTGTGTTCCATTATTAGGAATGAGACACTTAATTAACGTTTATTACAATTTAGGAAGAAAATAAGTCAGTACGTGAGTTATGCAACTTATATTTGTTTAATTCATCGTACCCACATGTTTAACAAAGTAACTCATTATATTTTTTCCCCTTTAAATTTCATTTTCGATTTAAATTTGACTTAAAAGCATATATAATTGATAGCGTAAAATGATTTTTTACAATGTAAAATATATTTATCGACTTTTATATATTCACTATTATATATATATATATATATATATATATATATATATATATATATATTTAA